ATCATTTCAACTGAAAAGTAGGATTTAAATTGTATAGGATTTTTAAAGTGTAGAATGAGGTACAGTTAGTATTTATTTAGCAGACAAAACCAGGCTACATGTTATTTTTACTCCAAGCATAGCTTAATATTTTTAAATCTTCACTAATTCAAAATCTACAGCAATCTGTCCAGACCTAGCTGAAATCCTCTGTACCACATATGAAAAAAGACAGATTAAAAGTAAATAATGCAAATTCTAAAGATAATGTTTAAACTAGAAAATTTAAAACCTTTTAAGAATTTCAGCATAATCTTTTCACCTAAAGATTAATGATGCAGTATTCATTATACATTATTTACAGATATTTAATTAAAAATTTATGAAGTTATCATATATATTTTAAAGGAATAAAATGATAAATGTAATAAAATATTATTTGCAAAAGCCTAATAAAAGTTATGAACATCATTTGTGAAAGAACTCTTTAAAAATAGGTTATCTAGGTATATATTAGTATGTACTGAATAAGATCAAACCTATGAAGACAAATCCTTCTGAATCCTTTGAAACCATTCCATTCTCAATCTCTTTTATGTGCTGGAATTTTTAAATATTCTTTCAACAGGCCGTGCCCCCTGGTGGAAATGTTTGCAAACCTCTACCTGTACAGGATCTCTACGTCCTAAACCAGAACACAGGTTTATTTTCAAACGCAAAAATAGGAGACTTCTGCTTTAATATGCATATTGAACACATGCACTTAATATTAACTCTCTCCCCATACCTCAATAAAATAGCTAAAGAATTAATAAAAGGAGGGGAGCTAACCCATAAAGACAAACTAATGGGAGGAGACAACAGAAACTCAACAAGTAGGAACTGTACTACAGAGAAAGCTGAAACCTAACTACAGCAGGGAAAAGCTGTACCAAGTTGATGTGAGTTGCAGAACCTGCAAAGGCTTTCCACTTGGAAATATTTCTGAGGGAAGTGGTGGAGCTGGAAACTAGAGATTGAAATGAAAGTTTGAACGGAATGATTAGGTTCTAAAATTCTACCCAAACATAGCACAGCCAGTTGATTTCCCCTTTCTTGTCTAAATAAAAAGTTTACTTCCTAAAGTGGTTTGCAGGGATTACAGTGAGCTCTGGTAGCATAGTGGCTAAGGCACTTGACTGCTAACCAGAAGGCTGGTGGTTCAAACTCCCCAGCCACTCCTCGGAAGGAAGGTTGGGCAATCCTACTTCCGTAGTGATACTGCCTCGGAAACCCAAGGAGGGGTCACTATGAGTCGGGGCCGACTCGACGGCATATAACAACAACAACAACAACAGTGAGGAATGAAGAACAAGGAAGAGAAGAGGAAATGTGTTAGTGAAAAGAGAGAGATTGAATTTCAAGTATATATATTGAACTCAGAGACTCCCAGCCTGGCTTCCAGAACATCAGATGGAGAAGATTAGAGGATTATTTTGTAATATGCTGATTAACCAAAGAGCTACTAACATTTGGAAATTCCTCAATGAAAAATATCAGCTTGTCACCTTAATACCCTACAGAAAAGGCTACCACAGTCAACAAACCTTGCCTACGTACAGAAAGCTTCCTCACAGCACTTAACTATATGCATGAATGGCTGGCCAAGGATCACCAGACATGAAGAAAAAAACAAAATAAAACAAAAACCAACTCTGATTAATACCCCCCAAAAAAAGATATTACATCCATGAAACAAGAACAGGATACTAGAACAAGGGAACATGGGGGGGGGGGGTGCAGAAAAAGAGCTCCAAAGAATTAAAAATATTATATTTGGAATTTTAAAATTAGTATACTATTTCAAAGATAAAGTAG